TGATCGATTTAAAATCATTATGATATACCATACAAAAATAATTAGTCACCAACTCCATCCATCGCATTTGAAATTTCTTCACTAGAATAACATCTATACAACTTATCTCACTGTTACATTTAATGTATAATGTACATTTAAATCAAAAATTATGCTGTTTTTTGTACAACACCTAATAAATATTTTCCATTTTATAATTATTTTGATGGACTTGATTTAAAAAAAAAGCGCGCGAAGCGCGCTCATGACCTAGTTTAAAAAAATAAAGTTGATAACGGCACAGCTGTTCTTGGAACAACCTGTAAGTATAAAAAAATTGGTGTGAAAAAATCTCAAGCAAAAAAAACAAAATCGACGTGTCCGAGCGGTTTTCCCAAAATACCTTCATTTAATTGATATTGAATAAGTTCCATACTTTAGGTTTACCCTGTATATTTAAAAAAAAATATATATATATATATTCCTCAGATTTTTCATTTTTTTAACTCGCAGGAGTAGGGGCCCGGTAAAATTTTGGAACACGGGCCCGGAGCATCTTCACTACGCCACTGCTGTATATATATATATATGTCGTTTTAGAACGTCTTTCTTCGTTGTCCGACATCTAATTTCCATCTTCTTCTATCGTCGCAGTCCTCCGATGAGAGATTTCTTTAACTCATGGTCTCTTGTATGGTCTTCTGCAATTCCAGTTCTGGTCTTCCTCGTTTTCTTCTACTTGTTGGTTGCCAATGCAGCATTTTTCTGGGCCACCTATCATTTGGCATTCGTTCTACGTGTCCGTACCAATGTCCTGAACTATCGTGCCTTCTCTGCCCATTTGTTGTTTTATATTGTCGTTCCTTATTCTGCCTCTTCGTGAGATTCACATGGATCTTCTAATAGCATCCATTTCAACTGCTTCCACTTTTTTCTTTTGTCTGTCTGTAATTCTCCAAGACTCGGCTCCATATAGAAGGCAGCTCTTTATCATTGTCTCGTATATATTGAATTTTCTCTTTGTTATTTCCTTGCTCCATAATATTCCATTTAGAGCCAAATTATGGACCTACTGGTAACGTCCCTGGAAAATTTACCCCGTTGGTAGAACTAAAAATTGAATGCAACTTTTAGCTTTACCAGCAGGATAAAGGTGCCAATAACGTTACCAGTCGGTCCATAATTTGGCCCTTAGGCATCCTATTACTTTTTTAGTTTTAACTGTTCGCTTTTCTATTTCTTTCACGTCTGTTCCGGCGTTGTCGAATGTGATACCTAGATACTCATATTCCTGACATTGCAGAATTTCCTGCCCATCGTCTACTTCCAAGTTTCCTTTCTGGCCCCATTCTTGATACTCTTCTTTCAGCTTTCTAATCATATATTGCATGTCCTCTTTGTCACTGTCCACTATGACCTGATCATCTGCAAACTGAAGAGTAAACAGGCACCTATCATTTATCTCTATACCCATTCCATCGATCTCCTCTTCCAATTTTTCAGTGCTACTGCTATGTATATTTTAAAAAGCTTAGGAGAGATACAACATCCTTGACATAGTCCTTTATTTACTATAAATGTGTCTGTGAGTTTTTTATCTATCTTAATTCTTGATTTTGAGTCTTTATATAGTTCTTTAAGTGCCGATATGTAGGTGTGATTGATGTTTGTGTGTTCTAATACCTTCCATAGTCTGGGTACTGGGACTGTATCGTATGCTTTTTGTAGGTCCACAAATGTGAGGTGGATTTCCAAATATCTAGCAGATCTCTGTTCTATGATTTGTTTCAGGCAAAATATGTTGTCCATACCTGATCTTCCTGCTCTAAAGCCGAACTGCTCTTCTTCTTGTCTTTATAATCTTCTTCAATGAGATCACGCAGGATTCTACCATATAATCTGCTTAGTGTGCTTGTGACTGATATGCCCCTATAGTTATTGCAATTCAGCAGGATGTCCATTCAGGCATTTATTGATAATACATAATACATGTGAGACCTTTAAAGAGCTTCTCAGTTCCCCATTTCAGCATTTCTGAGTATATCCCTTCTGGGCCGCTAGCTTTACCTGACTTAAGATTCTTAACAGTCTTTTTTACTGTTTCTTCAGATATCTCAACTACTTCTCCATGTACTTCAATATGACTTGGAGAATCTAATATAATATTCCGGTCTACTTTCTTGTAATAGACCCTTGTAATGTTCTACCCATTGCTCTGGTTTAATAATCTGGATATTAGCTCTGTCTTTTCCTGGGTTTTTGACATTTGATATAAATCTCCATACTTCTGAACATTTCCTTCCTCCTATGTAGGTGTTAATTTCTTCACATTTCTTATCCTATGACTCGTTCTTAGCTATAGTGATGCACGTTTTTAGTTGTCTTTTTGTGCCTTTATAAACTTCAATGTTTTGTTCATTTTTTGTCGTTGGCCATTTCAGATATTTTCGCTTCTTCTCTTGGACTAATAACTCTCCTTGTTCCACCAGTATCTCTTTTCTTGTTGGTATTTTTTTCCTTCGTGCCTATTGCTTTTTGGGTGGCTTCTATAAGACTCCTTATAATGTTCTCATAGAGGTTATTGAAGGTACATTCTTCATGGTTCAATAGTTTGCTGTCGAGTCGCCTCTGATATAGAAATACAGTGCTGTCATCTCTAAAACTGTCAAAATTGTAATTTGTTGTATCCCACTGTGTCCGTTAGTATGGCATTGGTGTTTTGTTCCTCTGGGTTCTTGTTCGTTTTCTCAAATTGCAACTTTATTTTGGCTCTTACTAAAAAATGATCTGACCCGCAAGTTATTCCTCTTAGGACTCTTACGTCGTTTATCTCTATGTTTGTTTTTTGCTTGCTTATCACATAGTCAATAATAGTTTTCAGGTTACGGGTATTCTGTATCCATGTGTAGCGGGGAATATCTTTGTGTTTGGACAATCCATTGTTTATTTTAAGATTGTGGGTCTCACAGAGATGTATGAGCCTTTGGCCAATTGATTATTTCTTCTCCAAATGGTCCTACAACTGGGCTATTGTTCGTCCTTCCCGTTCTTCCATTGAAATCCCTATCATTATGATATCTCTATTTCTTCAAATATCTATTAGGATTTCATCCAATTTATCAAAAAACTCCTGCTTAATGCCGACTCTTTCGCCCTCTGATGGAGCGTAGGCTGCTATAATTCTGACGACAGCTAAAAATAACGAAATGAAAATGTTCATACAAGTCATGCAACATCAAACGTCGTTGCCAACTAAAAACATCTGAAATTCCCCTACTTTAAATGCGTTAAAATGTACTTTTAGTTTTGTTAGGTTGGCAGCAGAAATGTGACTTCATCCTAAATATAATTTAAAAGTCCTATAAGTATACAAAACTGAATATTTTTATAACTTTCGGAATAATCATATTTGGACAAAATAAAAAAAATCCTATAGATTTTTTGTCGATTTCCTACAGTTTGCAATAAACAATAATCAATTTATTAATTCATTCAAGCTCCCTATTATTCTACACCTTTTTGCCCTATTTTCTCCTGGACTATTAGGAATAAGTCTAATAAATCTAGTATATTTGGAATCAGGTTTGAAAGGCTTATCCAATATATGGGGGTATCTCAAGGGTTTTCTAAAAAAAGTATAACTTTGTTTCGCCACACTTTTGTGACACACCTTATATACTTGTAACTAACATCATTGAAAACTTTCTGATATTACCTATAACTTTCACATTTGACATTTCTGGGTATCTCTTCAAACAGGTAAGATAGGTGTGGGTGCAAAATGTAGACAATCACTGTACACAATTTCAAGCGAACAAATTAATTAATTTTTGCAGGCAGAAAAAATTTGTTTTAGAAATATGTGCCAATAGTGTAGTCGAATTTTTACCTTTTTTTTGTTTAATGATAATATAACACCTGCGCTAACACCACAAACTGTATTGAAAAGTATTGGCTCATTTATATGACCCTCTAAGACATTTTATGGGGAATTCAGAGAGCTTAGAAGCTTTCAGTGTATATAATTCACTCAAATCATTTGTATACAGAGAAGAAAGTCATAAGATAATAGTTAGAGATGGAATATTTGTGCATGATGACGATATTGTTTAACTTTATTGTCTGTGCTTTGATCAGTTCATTGATTTTTAAGTTTTGTAGTTCATTATGATTACAGCCAACCGTTTTTACCGTACTCAGTATTTTACTAAAGATGAAGCAGCAAAGACTTGTGAAGCTGGATCAGACTAGTTAACTCATGAATTAAGCAGAGAAAAGAGAACTGCCTTCATAAAAATATGAATTATTGGGGAGTTGTCAAAAATGTTTCATCGATTTATGCCCAAGACATTGCCTGCCACTTGGTTCTATTTTTTCTAAATTACTTTTGAATAGGTTTGCCAATACTCTTCAATGGATTTTGAGGTTCAACAAAAATAATATAATTCACAAAAATTTTGACTACACTAAAATTTTCTACAAGACAAGAGGTGTTTCGATTTGTAAGAGCATTTTATTTTATGTAATTAGAAATATTTACCAACAGTTCAGTATTCTTAAACTCTGTTGTTTATTATAAAAAGCTTACTTAACATCTTCATATATGTTTGATGAAGAATTTAAGGTACAGAGTTCGTTCTGTATTTATAATATTTAGACAAGACAAGGTAAGTAAAATTGATATTTCCTTCTGCATGCATTTTGGAATTGATTATGTAGGTAACTTTATTGTGAAACTAAACAGAAAAAAAGCTGTACCTGCTCAATACGAGCAGAAAGTCTATTTGCTGACAATACGATTGTGATTATTATTATAAATTAGTTCAATTTTCAATGTTTTTATACTCTGAATTATTTATTGATTTTTTGTTTTTTTTTTACTTACCAATAAGTCTATTATTGTGTAAATTACTCAATAAGGCTGTGACCAAAACGCTTATTTTTTTATAAAGGTAAAATTAAAAATAAAAAAATTAAAATTATTGCCTTGTTATTAGTTAGTCGAAACAAATTAAAAACAGTTGTAAGCATAATAAAGTTTATTAATTATGCAATTAAATGTAAATCTTATCGATAATCATCTATTAGAATACAAAAACACCCCTTATTGATACTACATGTCTTCGTTGTCAGATTCTGAATCTGCTTCCATAGCCTGTTTAGCGGCTTTTTCAGCTTCTTGGTAAACATTTTCAGGCACCCGTTGGTGGTGTCCGTTGCTGTCCTTGCAAACCCAAGACAATTCCAATTCAAAGTTTTTATCCTTGAGCTCATCGTGGACCAAATAGATGCTAGAAATACATAATTAAAAATTGCTTATTTATTATAAATGTACATACATTTTGGCAGCTTCTTTGACCAACTCCCTGCAAGGCATTTGACTCAGTTTGAGTTTTTCTATTTCTGTTTTTGCGGATTGTTTGGCTTTTCCTGTAGCACAGCCAAGATTACCCTTTATAACAAATAAAATTAATTAGTTTAAATTTTATTGGATGAATTCACTTACATAGCTGACTCCCGATGGATCAATGGTGTACATAACAGGCTCTCCGTTTTCATAACCAGATAAAATCACACTGCATCCATAAGGTCTGATAGCACTATATAAAGTGTAGGCGTGCATATACATACTGACTCGGTCGTTTAAATATTTCAATGGGATACTTAAACGATATTGCTGTCTATATTCTGCTGCCTCTCTACGTGCTATTTGGACTATCTGTCTGGCATCAGCAATCAATCCAGAGAAAGCCTAGATTTTTCGTATATTTATATTTGAACAATAAATGAATAACTTTTACCATTCCAATGTGCTGATCAATGTTGAAGATTCTCTGGTTGGTGGAAGGTTCGTGTAACTTGGATAAAATTAATTTTTCGGCCGCCAAAACGATGCCATCGCTGCCTTTAAGCCCTATAACGGTTCCGCTATTTTCCACGGCTTTCATGGCATATTCGACTTGAAAAACTCTTCCATCGGGTGAAAATTGGGAAGCAGATAAATCGTACTAAAAATTAGGCGATTTTTATATAAGTGGGATTAATGGTATATTAGATCTACTTACTCCAGTTCCGATTGAACTCATTTTTGAGGTTGATTTTGTTAGGGAAATGCAAGTTTTTCTTCAAAAATTATGATTTTAGAATGACGAAGCTTTTTCAATCACAAATTATTTGTGCTTGTTTGAAAAATATTTTAGGTTATGTGACAGACTGACAGAGGAAAGGACAGAGGCAGGTTGTGGGGCGAGTTCAGGAATAGTTGTATTCCTTTCAAGAGTTTGAAACACTCGAGCTACTCGCTCCATCCAGTGTTTAGTAGCCCCCGATTTGCAAGTAACAGATGCGTGGTACGACAAACACTTTTCGAAAGGAATAAGCGCGTGAAGCCCCGGAGCTGTTCCGGAGCTCCTCCTAGGTGTGAAAGGAATACAACAATACAACTCAACTACCGACACACTCGGGTGAGTGTGACACCGGTGCGACGCACTAGCCGTTCATAAATGCTATAGGCTGTGTTCTTTTTTCAACTGTCAGTTAGGGTTGCCAGGGCTGGCACTCTGTAACGAATAGAGATATTTTCTTTATCTCTATTGACGTCTCCTCTCTATTGATTTCGACAAGAAGGAAGAAGACAGCAAGTACCATAGCGATAGGGATAACCTCAGAGTAACATAACGATCCTTATCCGTTACAGAGTTCCAGTCCAGACCTCCTATTTTCAATATGAGACTCATATATTTTAACTGTTTCTCATATCTCATATTAGCATGTTTAATATGAGACTATTTCTCATATATTTTATTCAAAAAAAGGAACCATCTATATCACTATTATCACTACCGTACACCGTGATAGGCTGGAGTGTCAAGTGTGATTTATAAACTCCACCGTTCCCGTCACCGTTCGTTGTTCCCGTTCCCGTTCCAACTTCAAATATAGGAAATTAATGTAAGCATTTATATCCACCGTTGCCGTTCCCGTTCGTCGTTTTCCTCGCGAACGGCACCGTTCCACCTTGGTTAACTTTTAACTCGACCGTTCGTCGTTCGTGCAGTAGCCAATCAAATTAGTAGGTGGTAGACGCTTTTTACTCATTGGGCGTCGACCGGTGAGATACCACCATGCCAGAATTGAGTAGCGCTAAGTGGTATCACCACGTTCCGCTACTGCGCTGGCAGTCCGGTTCCAACAATGAGTAACAGATAGCATGATGGCGCCTCCAGGATCAAAATATTCCGGAGGTAAAATACCCGACCACTCGGATCTCCGGGCGTCGGGTGATCCTGGGGGTCCTTCATGCAAAGATATAAAGAGAAGATCAAAAACTCAACTCAGAATTGATTTTAGCAATATAAGAGGAATAAGTACAAATATGAATTCAGTTCACCAACATCTTGAAGAACAAAGACCTGACATCCTTGTTCTCACTGAAACTAAAATCAGTTCTGCAACACCTATTGTGAACTATCTTTATCCCGGCTATGACCTACACCACCGATTTCGACATAATTTTGGGATCTGTGTATACATTAAAAATGACCTTTCATGTCATCGAGAGGAGAAGCTAGAACCAGCGAACCTTGATATCATATGGCTAAAATTCACCTCAAAGTCATCGACCAAGTTTATCTGCTGCCTCTACCGACCGCCAAGTAACACCGATTTCCAAAACTTTTTCGCGACATTATCCGAAAGCTGTGATAGTATACAGTCAAACTATCCACAGGCGGAAATTGTCTTTTTAGGCGATTTCAACGTCCACAATATACCCTGGCTGAAACACCACAACAAAACAGATAACGAAGGCAGAGAAGCAGAAGCTTTTGCCATAAGTTGTGGTCTAACGCAGCTTGTCGATGAACCTACCCGTATCTCAGAAAGGGGCGAATTTGCAGCGCTTTTAGACTTGTTCCTAACCACCAATCCTGACTCGTACACAATTCAAGTAGATGCTCCACTTGGTTCGTCCGATCATAAACTTATAATAACAAAGTGCGAAATGCTCATCCCACCAAGCCTACAACCACTTCCTCGTAAAATGTGGCACTATAAATCGGCAAAATGGAATGACCTAAAACAGTATTACCTGGATTTTCCATGGCAAGAGGTTTGCTTTAAAACAGCTGATCCCACTATTTGCTGTAATGAAATAACACAAGTAATCTTATCTGGAATGGACGCATATATCCCACATACAACTAAACGTAGAGCTAATGCAAAACCTTGGTTCAACAGCCAGTGTCAAACGGCTGTACAGAAAAAACACAGAGCATATAACCTTTGGAAACGACAACAAACCGCTCAAAACCACACAGAATTTATAGAAGCCAGAAATAGTTGCAAAATTACTATTGACTTCGCTAAAGAAACATACAATCAAAGAATAAAAAACAGGTTGCTGAATTGTCCAAGTAGTTCTAGGTCTTTTTGGTCTCTTGCAAAAGCTGTTGGATCTAACTTCACCAAGTCATCCATACCACCACTTACAGATAAAAATAATCACTTAGCCACAACATCAGAGGAAAAAGCCAATATGCTTGCCCAAATGTTTTCCTCCAACTCCAATCTAACAGTGCCAAACGGAAAAACTCCACCGTTCATTGAAAGGGTTTCCCATAGTATGCCAGAGGTACCCTTTTGTCACAGAGAAATACGAAAATCCCTAAAAAAGCTGGATACAAACAAAGCAATGGGTCCGGATGGCATTCCCGCAATAGTACTCAAAAATTGCGCCAACGAACTCACCCCAACTTTCGCAAAATTATTCAATTTGTCTTACAGGCAAGGAGTATATCCATCATCATGGAAGTCTGCCGCAGTACAACCCATTCCAAAGAAAGGAAAAAAGACAGATCCGTAAAACTATAGACCAATTGCTCTACTTCCGGTGATATCAAAAGTAATGGAAAGAGTTGTGAACAATCACCTAACCAAGTACTTGGAAAAGTACAAAATTATCAACGATAAGCAATACGGATTTCGAAAATATAGGTCAACTGGCGATTTACTTACATACGTCACTCACTTATGGCAAAAAGCGATTGAGTTGCGGGGTGAAACAAGAACAATTGCCTTAGATATATCTAAAGCATTCGACAAAGTTTGGCATGAAAATCTGCTCAACAAGCTCAAAGCAATGGGATTATCGCCGAAACTTTGCACTTGGTTTGAAAGTTACCTAAAGGACAGATCCATTTATGTTGCACTGGATGGCCAGAACTCCAACTCTTACCAAATAAATGCTGGTGTGCCACAGGGAGCAATCCTTTCGCCAACTCTTTTCCTGATTTACATAAATGACCTCATAGATAAAACAGTAAATCCACTTTATTGCTTTGCAGACGATGGCAATGTAGTCTCCTCACTCATACCACCCAAAGGTCTTTCCGCACGTGAATTCCATCATCTTAGACTAACTCAAATATCGCAGATAAATAACGACCTGGAGATAATAGAGGACTGGGGTAACAAAAACCTTGTGCAGTTCAACGCGCAGAAAACCCAAGCAGCTCTGTTTTCAAAAAAGACCAGCACCGGTGAGCCAAACATCATGCTATCTGGAAGTGCTGTCACATTACAGAGTCAGTTGAACATTTTGGGGGTTACTGCAGAGACCAACATGTCTTGGCACAATCACGTGGCAGATATTGCTAAAAGGGCCTCCCAAAAGCTAGGGGTGCTATTTCGTACAAGAAATCTGTACACACCAAGCCAATTGCTGACACTCTACAAAGCCCAGATTCGACCAACTATGGAGTACTGCTCACATATATGGAGTGCAGCGCCCAAACATACCTTAATGCTTTTGAATACCGTGCAAAAACGAGCTATCAAGCTGATCAATGACCCCGCACTTACTCGTAACTTGGATGGTCTCGAACATCGCAGATCTGTGGGCGATTTATCTCTCTTCTACAGGTACTATCACGGAAAATGCTCTGAAGAGTTGGCACGTATGATTCCACCGAGAGTAGCACCTACTAGGCGAACCCGTCAAACAGACGGTAACCATGAATTTACTGTCAAACTAGAGGCACCAAGAACCTCATTATATCAGAATTCATATCTCTGGAGAACAGCATCGCTGTGGAATAAACTCCCTGCGACGGTTTTCCCTGCAGGTTACAACCTGAACCGTTTCAAGACCAACATACACCGACATTTCCGCGCACTTGCCGCTTCTCGAGCGTGATAGGACATTTCCTTGCGAGTGCGCATATCCGTAAAAAAAAAAAAAAAAAAAATTAGACAATTTTGGTCATGTGATTCAAGATAAATATATTGGGTTAGGATGTGTTTTTGTTTGTGTTGTGTAACGGTTTAGAGTTTATAAATGCTTAGAAACGACACGAACGGTGACAACGAACGGGAACGGTGACTGAGAGTTTATAAATCAAGCTTCATGCGTCTATTATCCGACCGTCCGATGGTACAACAGAAGGTCGGGGATTCTAAAATCACGATTCGACATACGATTCGACAACGAGACGATTTTTCCGACGATTCTAGGTTAGAAATCTCATTGGAATTATACCTTTCGACACGACAAGGCCGGTATCGTTGTCGAGTCGTGTGTCGAATCGTGATTTTAGTATCTCGGCCCACAGAGCTCCTATTGGCTGAAAAATTTCCCGCCACTTTTTATCCGAATATTTTCAACTTTTTTCTGATGTCGGACCTAATTAAAATAATAACAAAACTAGAGATGAGCTAGGTCGCAAATATTCATTCGCAGTTATAGCGTTATAACTATGAACGCGATTTTTTATTCACTGTGAATATAAACTGCGAATGAAAACTGCGAAAAATGATTTTGGGTCAGGGATTTGTTTAAACATCAAGAAACTCAAGGTGTTGTCCACGACTTGTTACAAGAAATGATACTGACGAGTGACGGATCAGGAGGAGTATCTAACTACCTAAAAGAATGTCCAGCAATCACTGGCGTAGCCAGGTGGGGGGGCAAGGGGGCATTTGCCCCCCCCCAAGACCCTTAAATTTTATGAATATTTCTTCAAAATTAAGATAAACAGTCCCAAAAATAGCGTAAAGAAACCTGAAAAAGGGGCGTGGCACCCAAAAATTTCGCGCCTGCGGCGCTTTGCCTCCGCCAGCGGTCGCGCTAGGGCCGCAAAAGACGCTTCCTGCAAATTTGCCCCCCCCAAGACAAAATCCTGGCTACGCCACTGCCAGCAATACATTCT